TGCCTTGCCGCCCTTGTGGTCGTCCACTGCACACCCCTTATGTGCACATGTGACCCGGGTGCCCATCTTGTGCATGTAGATAAAGCATGTGGTGCTATACGATGGCTAGCCAACAAATTTAAATTGCGAGGTAGCACTTATCTCGGATGTAGGATTGGATTCATTCGCATCCGGGCTCTCGTCCTCTTAGAACCCGGCGTAGAGTTGTTGAGGAAAGCCCTCCAATATCCCTCAACGAACGTGGTTTGATCCGACGCCTTCATACTCCTCACCATGTCACTATTCTGAAGTCGCTCATGATGATCCATGGGTCCTGTGTGCTCCTGAGGTACGATTCAATTTGGCTTGGTTCGTGTTGGGGAGTGCAAACGACTATGATAGTTAGCTACTACGTAGGTGGCTATAAGAGAGGCCGATCAGAATAAAATTAAAATATGCTATAAGACTGGCCGATCACAATAAAATTAAAATATAATATCCACCATAAAAAAATGAGAATTTAAATATAAAATATATGAGCTTACTTTCAAATTTTAAATTACTTTATATATAAGTCCCACCTTTTGTAAATTGAATATTGCATTTTAATTTTATACATTTCACTATAGAGTTGATCGGATCCATTCTTTTTGCCATAATGCACCTGTAAAAAATATTTAAAAATAATTATTAATTTAAACAAAAATAACCAAAATGCCCCTTAAAATTTTAAAATTTTAAGAATATTTTGGTTATTTTATTTTAAAATATCTTTGGATATTTTTCACGATTGTGAGATGTTGAGAAATAACAACTCCCTAAATTTGAGCTAGATCCGATGAAAAAAAAGAAAATAAATCAAAACCCATGCATACTCTTAAAAAGTGGGACTTGAGAGTGAAATATAAACTACACAAGATTTTTAAACTTTTGATAATAAAATAAGATTTTTTTTTGTAAATTTCCGAAGGAAAAACAACCAAATAGGGGGCTGTGCATTTCTACGGCATTGACACCCTCAAAAGATAGCATGCCCAAATTTCTTCATCGTCTCAAATAGTGATAGCATATCCCCAGGGACCAACTTGGTCTCATGATTTAGAAAGGCAAGTAATCTTAAAGTGGAGAGTGGAAGAAATGAGGAAAAGCCAACTTCAAAGACGAGAAAGAAGCCAAAATGCACGGGTATACAAGCTTTCCATTACTCTCTCTTTCGAACAAGAAACCATGTATGTGTGCAGTACACAATGGAATAACATCACAAAAGCAAGAAAAAAGAAATACACAGCAATTTGGACCATTTGCTCTTGCCAGACAAATGAAGAAAAAACTGGCCTTCAATGATGGACCCTTGGTTATTAAGATGATTAAACACAAATCGATTACTGCCGAGTGACAAAGGAATCCATTACTAATTACACAAGGGGTTTATCTTCTCTTCCCAACCTTTGGCAAATGACTCTAGAATTCATCTATTACATTTCAACTAATCTTCATTATCTGAATCTGCAATCGAACAAAATCAAAGCTATTGTTAAAATCACTTTGAATAAGTATTCGATTTAAGTTCAAATCTAATCAATGGGGTAATCTATGGAAAAAATTTGGCGCAAATTAAGCAAGAGAGATGCAGGCATACCTGATCTGATATCCTCTCCCACCTGTCCCCTATTCTTGAGCTGCCGCGAGACCATGAAAAAGATGAGGATGCCCCAATATATGTGGAAGATCAACAGCGTTATGAGCATTGTGTTGAGCAAATAGTAGAGAAAACTGTGATACCCCTTGGATAGAACGAATACATCGACTGCATCATGGCTGAATTGAACAACTATCAGAAGCAACATAAGTCGCAACATAAATTAAATGAACGTATGTTTCAGACTATTATTTGCATGTAGGTTGCATGAGCAAACCTTGAGCTTCGGATTACCCAGAATGGGAAGTATATGAGCCGCAGAAGAAACCAAGAAATGGCAAAGAACCCAAAGCATGTGCTGGCCGCATGCTCATTTCCAGTGTACTTGGAGAGTTTGGCTGTTTCCATGAACACATCATTGACATCATGCAGTGCAAGAATGATGGATCCAATGCGAAAAAATCTGCAGATCACACGACTTAAAAAGTCAAGTAACATGCAGTTTGTATGGAAGCAAATATTAGTATTTACTAGTTTTCAAGAAGGGTGTGGTCTACATAAGGTGTCAACCTCAAACAATCCAAGTGCGCATCTCCAAACCTTGTTGAAAGATGTAATGTTGGTGTCGGAAATTTCAACAATGACCTGAAAATCTATTTTCCATCTAATTATGAATTTTAAAAATCAAAAAATGCTGCAGACCTACAAACACTTGAAATCTTGAAAATGGATTCGGAGAAATGTCTTTTCTTTTCCCCAAATCCATACGTCTCGTGGTTGTGATGGTTAGTTGGAGGAATTTTCAGCATCAGAAAATCTTTTTCAATGGATTTTTGAGGCATGCCTTATTTCTGCAGTATAAAGTATTAGAAACCTTTTAGTTAAATAGTTTCTCAAAACCTCTAGGAGTTTACCGTCTATGCTTTCAAGAGTCCATGTATAAAGTAAATAAAACACTCTACAAATACTCATGTATGCTTGTGGCCAAATCAAATTCGAGTTTAGAAATAAAATTTCAGTTTTCTATTATAGTGGGAGGGCATCGTTACAAGAGGGATTCCTCAACTATTTTGTAGAAAGTGATTTCTGCAGCTCTAGCCAAGGTATGGGAGAATCTCCCCAAAGACTGGAGCCTATCTTCTTCTTTTGGTGGAGATATTTCTGAAATTTGTAGGTTGTGGATTGGAGGTACTCCCAAGTAAGCATGGACCTACTTTTTTCTTTCCCCTCGTGTGGCAGATCCTCATCCAAAATGCCCCGCAAACAAATTGGTCACTTATTCAAGCCCTTGCATAAACCCTAGCCAAACCTCTCCAAACCCAAGGTGAACTAATTCAATAGCCATTCTGACGATATACCTGCCCTCTGTAGCCTTCAAACGCAAGTTTAAAACCAGTATTTCCTTTGCAACCATCTGTATATCTCCTTGGACTGTTGATTTAAAGGTATTCATACCCTGAAACCCTTATATCAAACCCTAATTATTGACCTAATCATAGCAAATCCTAATTATTAAACTAATCTATTAAGACATATTCCTCAATCCTACTCAAATTAGGAAACCTCAATACCCTAAACCCTATTGTCCTAAACTTAGTGAGAGACCTAAACCCACTAGGATTCATATTTGCCCATTCCAAAGTGATGCAAGACAAAATTATTCTTATTTTTTTAAATTTTGTTTAATTTCTAAGGATATATATTTTTATTTAAATTTTAGGTTTTATTGTTAGTGTTTTTTAATCTCTTTGGGGGATTCTAAGGTTTTTTTTTAAATATTTTTAAAATTTTTGGACCTATTTAAAAAAGTAGTTACAAGGTTGATGGAATTACTTGCTTAATCAAAGGTTAAATTCCATTGTGAATTTTGTTTTAATTAGGACTTCTTATTTAATTAAAATTAGGATTTCTTGGGTTCTAAGTAAGGTATTTTATGTATGTAGAGAACATAGAATAGAGATTTGAATTATTGTTATGAAACATTGTTTCCCAGAGTTCTTGTGAATTATGTAGAACCATTGAAGGTAGGCTTGTTAGCTTCCTTTTTTATTTTTCAATCTATAGATTATTGGATTTTCTTCCCTGCAAAAATATTTCTGCATCAATTTGGTATCAGAGTTCAAGTTTTCTTCAACAACAAGGCCATGAAACTACACACAAATCCAGGGTTTGCTGATTTTGGGCCAAGGCTTGCTGATTTTATCAAAAGTTTTGCTGATTTCAGCCCAAGGTTTGCCAAATTCAGTTATTGAGGTTTTGTTGATTCTCTGCCTAGGGTTTGTTATTTCAATGAACCCATGATAGCGAGAAGGTGGAAGGGAGGCTCTCGTAGACCTACCCTGAGATGCCAGAGATGAAGAGATTGAGGTTCTCGAGTGGCAAGTTCAGCAGCTTGCACAACAACTCATGGGCATCAATCACGGGCAGGACGGTGATCATTCAGCCCAAGAAGATGTCGAGTACAAAATCTTCTCAACGCCATGCTCCACATGAGGAGTTGGGTAAAGAGGAAAGTGATGAAGACCTAGACGTGGGGAGCATCACTCTAGGTTTTTTATTTGAAGGTGGACATCACTGATTTTGACGAGAATAATTTGACTCAACCAAGGGAAAAGTAACTTTGCCGCTTGTGAGAACAATTTGATTTGTCAAATTGAAGAGGCCATCTATGAAGAACCTTTATTTTCATCAAGTTATTTCCCAAATCAGCAGGTTGTAGATTGGGATTTGCTACCAATCTTTCACACATGATTAAATGAACAACAAGATATATTAGAAGATCTGATCTATGATAAGGTTCAAGATTAAGATCTCAAGGATATTAAAGAGGTGGAGAATTCAAGAGATTTAAGACATTGGAATCAAAGTATCGAAGTGGAAACGCAGTCAACTCATAAACTACAAATTGTGGCCCTGGATTCAGAGCGTAATGAACTAGATGTCAAGAAAGCCTCTAGAGGCCAAAAAATTGAGTTTAAAGTTCTCTGATCTATTTTCAATGCGAGCTCAGGGATAGCCAAATCTGATAACTTTGTATTTATTCCTCAATTTATATATTAGGATCAGTTTCTTGAGGATTTCTTTTCACCACAAATAATCGTTGAGCCAATAAAGAAAAAGGTTGAAGAAGGTGATTTTGATGTTGAATTCGTCTTAGCCTACTTTAAATCTAATGATGAGTTTTCGCCAACCAAGGGGGTCTGATGTAGGACAAAATTATTCTTATTTTTAACTTTTATTTAATTTCAAAGGATGTATATTTTAATTTTAATTTTAATTTTAGGGTCATTTTTTAAGTTTTCAAGTCTCTCTAGGGATTCGCGAGTTTTTTTATATTTTTAGGATTGTAAGAGTTGTTTAAAAAAGAAGCTACAACACTTACGAAATTATTTGTTTCATCAGGGGTAAAAATATCATTACAAATTAAAGTTACTTTGATACTTCATTCACCAATATATTACCTAGTTTTATCTATGTCATTTTTTATTAGAGGCATTTTAGTATATTTATCAAGTGGAGGATCATTTCTACTTTGCACTCATGACTTCCTTTTAGGTTGGGTTAGAAACTTCAACCAAAATCCAGTAGAATTCCTTATTAACTTTCGCCAATTTTTCCCTCTCATAAAACCATTCTATTAACATAACACCATGAAATTAATGGAAACTCCTGCTGGACTTCTCTTTACTTTTGGCAGTCTATTTTTAAAAGCCTCAATATAGATTGGGTCAATAATCCATAGCATGGCTATTGAGATCTCCCAACTTATGTGGCAGTCCTCATGGGAAACTCGCTCCGGCACTCTAGGAAATGGGTCTTCACAAGATTTCCATTTTAAAATTTTGGGATCTCAATCTACATTATTAGGGACCTCAATTCCAACTTAAAAACCAAGATAACAACCAAAGTAATATTTTTATTTTTTTATTTATTTATAGCCAGCTATCAGTGCAACTATAATTTATCTTGGAGAACTCATTACTACCTTATTCCAAAACTTAATAGAGGGAAAACTCGTCTTTACTTCAAAACTGGGCATGCATGGATAACTCCATTGCTTACTAGCTATCAATGAAGATATAACTACTTTAAAGACTATATATAGTACTAGTCTTAGATTTAATAAAGAAAATAAAATTATTTCATTTATTAATAATGCATTTTTAAAAATTAGGAATTTATTACAAATTCTCAAAATTTAAGAATGATGGAATCTTTTGTCGACACCCACAGAGTTTTTTGATATCAATCATATATCAGTTATAATAAATTTTAAACAACAAATATTTTCAAATTACATTTAAAATATATATATTTTTGATACTCTCAAATTACGTTTAAACTATTCCAAGCATTCCATAAAATTTTGCCAATCATTTTGAATGTGGAATCATGATTCCTAACTTCTAGGAATCGGGATATGTGGTGATTCCTTCACAGAAATGTAGAATCGCGATTCCAAACTGAATCGCTACCTAGGGTGGACGATTCCCGGAACTACATAACAAACAATGGATGTAACTTTCACTTTACCAATAGTCACTCGACAAACTTCTCTCTACATGCAACCCATTGTACATAGGATGGTGGACACTCTTCCTATGTGAATACCACTATGAGCAGCCTGATGAACTCCTTTCTTGACCTACTTTCACACAAAGTTGGACCCAAGGCGTAACGACCATCATCCACAAAATCGGTGCATCTCCAGCAATACGATCACTTTAACCAATGGGCTTCTTTATTTTGGTTTAGATTAATTATATTTTTTTAATATAAAGATGGTTAGACTAGGTGTAAATGAACTGACTAACTCAATAGTACAAATTTTAAAATGAGGTTTTTCATGTCAATTTAATTATATATTGAACTCAAGTTTATTCTAATAAAATCCCAAGAATTGAAAGTAAAACGAACTATGAAATTGGATAGAAGATGACAAACTCGCTAGGACTACTATGCTCACTACTTTTGAAGACGATTTCATATGATTCGAAAAAAATTTCTGAAGATTACGAGAAATCTAAATTCATAATGGAAGAACTAGATATGGTTCAATGTCAGAAAATCACATACAACTTTTACTTCATTATATCACACGTAGTATGTGAGAAAATTAATATGCAGAACCTTAAGACAACTAGAGACCACATGAAATGTTCCATGTAAGTGTCAACAGTGTTAAACAAACTCCTTCCTCAATGGGACATAGGGATGAGAACCATGATAACACACTACCCTCCCAAGGCCATCTCATGAGTCCCACATCTCTCCTTGGAATTTCCATGTGGAAGGATTCCTCATGGAGGAAACACCCAGCAAGCAACACGAGATCAGATACAATAGTGAATAGATACACGAAGCTATTTTTGAAAAGGTAATGCAGACCTACCCAACCTCGGAAAAATATCTGCCATTAATATGCTTCCCGAATAAAGCCAAATGTAAGCAGGTGCCATTACA